ACACTTGTACAACCATTTTTGTTGCTGCTCTTTTCACAATAGCTAAGAGATGGAAGCAACCTAAATACACCTCAGCTGACGAGTGGTTAACAAAAACATGATATATTTATACAATGGAGTTCTATTCAACAGTAAAGAAAGATGAAATAATGAAATTTGCAGGTAAATGGATGGACCTAGAAATTGTTATACTAAGAGAAGACAGACCCCGAAAAACAAACGATGTATGTTATCCCTCGTATGTGGGTCCTAGCACCAAATCCTTTTAAATTCCAGGTCCTTTTAATAAGATGATGCTATGCAGCAGTCCCTTCTGCATGAAATAACTACCATCATCACAACTTCAGCTGAGCCTGATCCCTAAACATTGTCACAATAGAGCTTGCTGACGGTTGTGCTCCTTCATTAAAGGACAGCCAAGCGGTGTCACTGGACCCTTACTAGAGTACCTAACCACTCTTCCCAGCCAAGTGTATATAATTTGACTCTAATCACACATGGCCTCCTGGATTTGGGGAGGGCTAAAGTATACAATCTGGGGAAGGCTAGGAAGAGAAGGCATGACCCATGCTGGATAAAGGCTATCCAGTGTGCATACCCTCAGGTCATAGATACACCTCAGCAACCCCTCAGTTATCTTGGTAAATAAGCTCAATAAATACATTGGTTCCCCAGTAAACCTTTAATGAAACACTGGCTTGACACTAGAACCTTAAAAGCGCAGCATTGCTTAGCATCCCCAGGAAAAGAAGTTTCACAACTGATGGAAAATTTGTTAATGCTATTAAGTCTCATAATTAATAAAAAATAAGAAAGAAAGAAAATAAGAGTGTAAAAGATGTCTAAAAGGACATGGAAATGGAGATATTTTCCAAAATAGAAAAAATGAGAAAGCCTAAGCAAGTGATGAAGGAAAGTATAGTCAAAGACTAAAGTCATCAGTATACTTCTTTAAGAGTTCAAGGGAATACACTTCCCAGACATTAGGCTTAAGTCTATATAAGAAGTTATTTAGACAATTATTTCTCATTGATGATTTTGTTCCTAACCATAAAGTGCTGCTCAGATCTAAGACTTCAAATCTGGGTCTCCAATACAGTAGTGCCCACCTGTAGCTAAGGGAGAAAACCAGCTATAGTTCTAAAATCATGGATAAATTTGTCTTCTCCCCCTATCTAGAAGCCTTTGAGAGGAAACTGATACTGTTTCTAACCACTGCAACAGCTATCAAAATACCTGAAAGGAAATCCTGAGTCCATCATTCTAGAGTTCAATCTTGGAAGACAAAAGAAAAATGAGGAGGAACCCAATAGAGGGATGCTTTTGGAAGCCCTTGTCAAGAAATTCCAATGGACTCTCAAATGAACATTTGAAAATTGCCCTGTTCTGAGTTTTTTCTAATTCCCTGTCTAGAACTTATAATGCTAATTACTCTTGCCTTTACTTTTCCTTCACACCTCCTATTCAGGATTCAAGGGCTTTCTTTTCCCCTTGGAGATAAGAGCTACGTAATTTGGGAGCCTTTTACATAGACTCACTGAAGGGGTGCTCCAATTGCCTCACCCTGCATCCCTGTTCAGCATGGAAGAAGCCAGAGCGGTCTGCATCCTTATTCCCTTTTGGCAATTTGGGTAACCTCTGCAGAGGATGGTGTGATAAGAATAGCAAGTAGGAATTGGCTAAGCAATTAGGGTAAAAAGGCCCCAAAGAAAAGTAGCCAGTTGCTTGGCCAAAAATCAAAATGTCCTTGGGCCTCTTAGCAACGTACTCTGTTCAAACGCCAAAAATGACAAAAGCTCTTGTTTAATCCCTAAAAGATTTTAAGGTTACCTCTTCAGAGTGGGAATGTTAGAGTAGCAAAACGCCCCACTGAAAAGAAAGAAGAAAGAAAGAAAAAAAGAAAGTACACGAAGTTGTCAGATAAAAGTGATTAGAAAATATGGGAGGTGTTTCAGGGGAGGGAGTGGGATGGATTTGATCAAAACACCTTATATGCGTGTTTGAAATTGTCAATAAAGCTTCTTTTAAAAGTTAAAAAAAAAAAAAAAAACAGAAAAAAGCCAGCACAATATTTCTTTAAATCTGTCAAGTAACTTTAGTTAAGTATTCATTTATTGTAACACTTACAACAAAAATGCCTAGTCTCTCCCGTTTGAGCAGAAGTTAAACTTCCAAACTTCCAGTTCTTTTTGTAAACATTTTGGTTCCATTTAACTGTTCTTGACAAGATGGGAGGAACAATTCTTAAAATAAAATTTAACTCAAAATTCCTAGAAACAGACCCATTAAAAAATCACAACACACATTAGAAAACATTTCTAGAAAAAGGCATACAAGTGGTCAATACATGAGTAAATGTTCAATGGCAGTAATTTTGCTTATTTTGTCACTATGACATAATACCAAAGACAAAATTCCAGTCAGCATGCCTCATTTTTTGGCATGACAGAATATTCTGAAGGTCAGAGGGTGTGAGGAAGTAAAACTGCTCACCTCCAGATTAGGGGGTGGGGAGTCGGGAAAGGGCAGAGAGAAAAGAGGCCAGAACAGTACAGACATCATTAAAGACAACCTCCCAAAAACATTTCCTTCAGTTGTTGGTCATTGTAGTCCAAGAGAATCCCAAAATAATACACACTATTGCCACAGGCCTTTATTGTCTTCCAGAACTTGAAGGTAAGACCCTATTGTTGAAAACAGGACATACTTACAACACAGGACTTGCAGCAACTGAGCTGACTGACCTGGAAGCCTCCTCCCCAAAGACTAGCTCTCATGGTATCAGAAGATACTATGCAAGCTGCCAAGTTGGGAAACCAATCAACGGTCCTATGCAGCTGCAAAGGCTATGAACCACAACAAGGACTGGGTCAGCAAAATATCTCTATTGGTGTAATAATGACTGCTCTATCTTGGGGGTAATCAACAGCTATCTAATTGAACTTAAGGTCCACTCAATAGGAGAAATCAATCCATGGTACTGTAAACATTGCCAAGTATATATGTTTGGAGAGATCATAGATCCCAAAGAGAACAAACTACTCCCACTTTCCTAGACCAATGCATACTATGTAATTTCTTAATATTTGTCATTATATTCACAGGCAAATATAGCTCTCACTACTCATCAAAGAAACTATTTTTTTAAAACAACCAATGGAGACTATTACAAAATTCTACAACTGGTCAAAATGCAGAGAATAAGTGACTATGGGGTGCATAGCCCTAACTGATACATCTATAATACAACCTCTACACTTATGGCTCAAGGAACATTCTGGAAGAGGAGGCAGAAAGACTGAGGAACCAGAGGAAGGATGCCTACTGCTAGATAATACATTCTAGACATGATATGATGATGTACCCAGGAAATTCCCACAGTATGGTTGCTTAACAAGGCCTACATAATTACAAAATGAGTTGATATGCCAATGTGGATGGGGAAAATGTCATAGGGTGACACCTCTAGAAGAGGAGCTACAGACAATCAATAGATGCTGAGGGAGGAAGAATCAGTTTTCTTCAGCAACAAGCACACTGATAGGTTATTTAATCCCAAGTGGCCAGCACTAAACGCATGTACCCACAAGCACCACTAAATGGATTCAGTGCATTATATATGTATATTTATAAATGTATGTGTGTGTAATAATAATAATAATCAAGAGGAGGACAAGAAGATACAAGGGAGTCAGAAAGGAGACTAGGAGGGCAAAAATGATGCACACATAATACTCATGTACAAAATTCTCAAAAAATAAAAAATATTGAAAAAAACTCGTTGACAATGCCTCACATGAGTAAAAATATTTATTATTAAAAAAACTAGGCTAGGTGTGGTGGCACACATCTTTAATCCCAGCACTCAGGAGGCAGGGGCAGAGGCAGAGGTAGGAAGATTTCCATGAGTTCCAGGCCAGCCAGGGCTAAACAGTGAGACCCTGTCTCAAAAAAATATAAACTTAAAATCAACAACAACAAAAGACTAAAGGTAACAAGTACTATCAAGGATGTAGAAAAAAGGGAAGCCCTGCACACTATTCAATGTAATGTCAGTTAGTACAGCTACTGTGGTAAATATACAAAAGTTCCTCAAAGTTTAAAAAAAAAAAAACTAACCTGCCATATGATCCAGGAATCCTGAGTATGTAGCCATACTCCTGAGTATGTATAAACAGGAAATGGTATCAGTCAATAGAAGAGATATCTGTACTCCTATCTACATTGTATCACTAATCATAGCAGTCAAGAAGTAGAAATAAACTAAGAATTCATTAGCATACAGATAAAGTAGTCATAATAAATACTACTCAACTATTTATAAAAAGGCATAAAATTCTGTGATTTGGGACAAAAGAGATGGAAATGGATGTTAATATAAGTCAGGTACAGAAGAAAGTACTATATGATATCTCTCACATGTGGAATCTTAAAACATTATCTCATGAAAACTGACAATACAATGTAGTTAACATAGAGTGGGGAGTGAAGGTGGGATGAGGGATAAAGAAAGGCTGATCAGTATGTTTCAAGTTGCAGTTGAACAGGAATGAGAAGTTCTAGTACGCTACTGCACACACTAAGTATAGACAACAATTACATGCTGATCATTTGAAGAGCTGGAACAAAATATTCTGAATATTTCTGTCACAATGAGAAAGATTTGAGAGAGATACTTAACCTGATATAAGCATTACAAAATATTTGTACTTATCAAAATATGTTACATCATTAACATATCCTCACTTTAAATTTGAAAGTACCAGTTTAAAATCAAATTTAAAATAATGAATTTCAGCTTACTGTTTATAGCAAAATTATTCTCCATTTCAGCTCCCAGATAGTAGCAACAAACAACAAAACAAAAAACAACAATAATAAAAAAAAACACCAAGGAACATTTTCAAGCAAAATATTTTAAATTCTTGTAGACTGAATCACATGTATTAAGGACTATTGCTATCAAGTATCCAAAAAATAAATTATGCTTAAAACATTACCTTGCCATATCTGTTGAGTGACAGGCTTATTAAGTCACAAAAAAGGTTTTCACAATGTTCTTCAAATAGGCTGACATTGGTTAAAATGTCACCTGCTGGACTGATAAACTGATGACTATACACAACTTGTTCTGAAAAATAAAATAAAATGTTTGAAAACCTCAGATTTTACAAATTCTCACTAGGATAAAATTATTATACTCCTTCAAATTGTATCAAAGTGAAAGTTTAAAATTTTTTTTGCAAAAAAAGTTAAAATTTGAGAACAGCTTCTTTTCAAAGATATTTGCTAAAAACCTTCCAATTCTATATACAGTTTAGTAAAGTCTTGTACTAATGAAGCCATCTTTGAAAATCATTAATGAACCACATTACTGTAAAATAAAAATATTAAAAAATTCTCACAATTCTAAGCAACAAAGCATCTACAGCATTATTCTTTTAACTGAGGCTGATATACTGACCACATGCAATGGTTTTGTGGCATAAAACTGAGCAAATCAATATAAAAAGATAACCAAAATTTGCACATATATCACAGCATATCTACTTGTACATTGTTCTAAATATATGATGTATAGTCAGCATGAGATGAAATTATACATCTGATTATACTTCTGTATGTTTGTATATATACATATACACATGCACGCAACACACATACTCATTAAGTAATTAAACAACAGGTATTGACATATAGATATCTCTGGAACCTAAGATGCCAGAAGCAAGATCAAAAAACTAACAGTACACAAAATAAAGAGTCCTATTCATAATATATATAAAGTTCTAAAAATAAAAGCAAAAACAAAACCGGAAGATTTGCAAAAGAAAACGAGCAAACAATTAATAAAAAAGCAAAAACTAATATCCATTACTTATAAGAATATGAAGTCAAGGCACACTCTCTAAAATAAACGTTAGGACATCAATGACCCATTCCACTTCTAAGACTATATTTTAAAGAATGTGTACACCAATTAATGTGTATGTATATGTGTTCAGTGAAACATTAAAATAAACAAACACACGCAATTAAACAAAGTGCAGTAGGTCTTTAAGATGTAGCCCTTAAATGAAAAACAGAACTACATGGACTATCACAAACAGATTTCTAAAAAACTGGTAAATGAGGATTGAGAAGATGTCTCAGGAGGCAAAGTGCTTGCTGCACAGGCATGAAAATCTGAGTTCTGGTCCCCAGCACCCACATAAAAGCCAGGTGTGGCAGCATGCCTCTGTAACCCCAGTACTGGAGGAACAGGATCTTAAGGACTTGCTGGTCAGTCAGTTTAACTGAGACCACAAACTCCAGATTCAGAGAGAGATCTTGTCTCAAAAAAATAAAGTGGAAAGTTGATACAGAAGGACACCCAATGTCGATCTTTGGCGTCCACACACACTGCAACATATGCAAAACATACACATACAAAATCTGCTATATGAAAAACAATACTGAAAAGTACACGCTATTTGTACTGAGAAACAGAAACAAATATATAGATACTAACAGATCAAGGTCCCTTTCAATTGGCCAAGCTATATAGTTCCAACTCGGGGGCAGGGCTGAGGGGTACAACCCTCTGGAGAAAAGGAGTAAAAATTATTTCTTACCTACTTCTGATTTTCTAAATTGTTAAGTATTTATAACTAAATATACTTTTTTTTTCCTTTTCTTTAGAACAGGGTCTCATTATATAGCTCAGACTGGCCTCAAACTCGTGAGCCTCCTACCTCAGCCCCTAAGTGCTGCAATTATAACTTGTATGCCAATATATCCAGCTGAGTTGTTTAATTTTAAAAAGCAATAAAGGTTTATATTTTTTAAAAAGACTATAAATCAGAAATCCATAAACTTACTCAGTTTTTCACTCAGCACGTGAAGAACTTCTAGCACCAGCCAATGGATATCTAAGTGGAGATGTAACAAATGCCACGATGGTGGGAAGAGCTGTGGATGACATTAACTACGATTAAGAATTCATACTTTGCATAGTGAGTTCCAGGACAGCTGGGGCTACAGGGAGACCCTGCCTCAAAACAAAAGACAAAAAAAAAAAGAAAAAAAGAAAAAAAGAAAAATCTCCTCCTTGAATACAAGATAAAGAATCAATTAACCTACCATTATTCAAAAGCGCAGAGAAAACCTGTCTTGATGATTAGAAGATTCTTTCACTGGAGATTTTTGAAAGCAGGATATATGTTTATTTATTGGTTTAAGAAAGACACATTTTGAGACTGTTGAATAGACTTATACAGTGAGTGCACTTCCAACTAACCTCTGGTTCTATACTGAAGATGTAAGGCAGTAAAATATTTTTTAAATTAGACACCCTGTTCCCCTTCTATTCCTGGGAACAGGCCGGCTTTTGTTCTATGTGCTTCAGACCTCTGGACTACCCTCTTAGTCCAGAACCACCCACTGCGTTCTGATCCCCTGTACCTAGACCAGCTCAATATCTCAGTCTAGGTTGTTAGATCCTTCACAGGCTGTCCCCACCCCACCCCGCCTTCGGACTCCTGAGACCAGCCTTCTACCCTGCTGTCCCTAACCCCAACTTGCTTTGATTCCCAAGACCAACCTTCTTCTCTGGTAGTCTGTGATCCCACACACTGTCCCTTGATTCTCCTACAGCCTGAGCAACTCCAGCTTCCCCAACCACCCCACATCCTGCCCCCTTTCATCCCTGGGCACAGGCCGACTTTTGCTCTTTGTGCCTCAGACCTCTGGACTACCCTCTTAGTCCAGAACCACCCACTGCATCCTGATCCCCTGCACTCAGATCAGCTCATATTTTCCAGTCTAGTTTGTCAGATCCTTCACAGGCTGTCCCCACCACAACTTGCCTTTGGACTCCTGAGACCAGGCTTCTACCCTGCTGTCCCCACCCCCAATTTGTCTTGGAGTCCCAAGACCAATCTTCTTCCCTGCCTATATGGATAGCCCCTCCAGAAGCTGTCCCCAACCTCATCTTGCCTTGGATTCCTGAGACCAGCCTTCACCTTTCCTACCTACTATTGTGACCTGCCTACTACCAAGAATAACCTAATATCCTGTGAGAACCAGAAGCACACACCAACAACCCAGTCATACTTGAGCAAAAAGCAACCCAGCTACATCAACAATATAAACAGAACCAAAAATCAAAAGGAGGAAGAATAGAATTTCCCATCAGACAAAAGATTAATATGCCCAAACAGCAATACAAAACATACATAATATGAAAAAACAAGAGAATATGTCCCCAACAAAATCCACTAGTTCTACAGAAGTGTACTTCAATGAGAATTACCCTGAGGAACTTCATGATGCAGAATTTAAGGGAACAATTATAAACATAATCAAAGAACTTAAACAAAAAACAACTCAAAGAACTCAAAGAGGATAGACATAAATTTGTGATGGAAGCGCAGAAAATATAAATATGCAGCTGAACAAAATCACAAAAACAATTCAGAACTTGAAAAAGGAATTCACAAGAGATAGAAATATTGAAGAAAAACCAAACCAAAATGAAGATGGAATTGAAAACCTCAGTGTAAGTCACTTTGAAACAACTGGAGAAAGCCTCACAGGTAGAATGAATGAAAGAGAAAACAAAATATCAAGACTGGATGACGAAGTTGAAGAACTAGATTCCTCAAGCAAAGACTAAATACAGGAATGGAATACACATGAAATGTGGGACACCATAGACATACAAGAAGGAGAATCTCAGGTCAATGGCATTAACCAGATCGTCAACACAATTATAGAAGAAAACGTCCCTAAATTAAGGAAAGACATACCTATACAGACTCAAGAAGCACACAGAATACCATTAGACATGACCAGAACAGAAACTCTCCAAGCCATAGACAAGGTACTGAAAGCTGATAAAGGAAAACGACAGTTACCTATAAAGGAAACCCATTAGAATTACAGCTGACTTTTCAATGCAAACTATGAAAGTCAGAAATGTCTGTCTGGAACAAAGTATTCCCAGATCTAAATGACCATGGATGCCAACTGCAAATACTTTATTCAGCAAAACTATCTATAATAGTTGAAGGGGAATGGAAAATTTTCCATCACATGAAAAGGCTGAAAGAATTGATGTCCACCAAACCAGTCCAACAGAGAATACTCGAAGCAATACAAAAGACCGATGATAGGAATGGATACACCCAACAAGTCACAGAAAGAGAAAACAAATGAACATATAATTATGGAAACACAAAATAGGAACAAGAACACAAACCAATTAAATGACAGTTACCATCCTTTAATATTAACTCAAAATATCAATGACCTCAATACTCTGGCCAAAACGCACAGACTAGTAGAATGGATTAAGAAAGAAAATCCATCTGTCTGTTGTCTTCAAGAAACTCATCTCAACTTGAAGGATAGACACTACCTTAGCATGAAAGGATAAAAATATATATATATATATATTCTAAGCAAATGGCACTAAGAAGCAAGCAGGTGTTCCAATTCTAAATTCTGACAAAACAGACTTCAAATTAAAACTAATCAGAGGAGATAAAGAAAACTCACTTCATTCCAATCAAAGGAATAATTAATAATTATTAATCAAAGGAATAATCATGAACATATATGCACCAAATTCTAGTGTACCCAATTTCATAAACAGTATTACAGGACTATAAAACACAGATTAAGCCCAACTCAGTAATAGTATGTGACTTTAATACCTCACTATCTCCAATAGACAGGTCTACTGGACAAAGAATAAACAGAGACATCTGAATTAAATGACATTAAATGGACCTAACAGACATCTACAGAATCATACACCAAAGCACCAATGAATACACTTTCTACTAGGCAGCAAAGCATATTTCACTAAAATTAATCACATATTGGGGCACAAAACAAACCACAACAAATACAAAAAAACCTAAATAATTCCATGTACTCCATCAGACCTCAATACAATAAAACTTATAATCAACAACAAAAGAAGCTCTAGTAACTACATGAACTCATGGAGATTAAATAACACGTCATTCCTGAATGATGCATGAGTCAAATAAAAAATTAAGAAAGAAATAAAAAGTACTCCTGAAACTAAATGAAAATACAACACAAGAAAATTTCTGGAACACTTTAAAAGCAGTTCTAAGAGGGAAATTTTTAGCTCTAAGTACCTATATTAAAAAATTAGAAAGACCACATAAAAAGACTTAGTACAACTCCATACTCTGAAAAGGTAAGAACAAACCAACCAGAAACCTAATAGACAAGAAGAAATAACAAAAACCAGAGCAGAAATTAATGAAATAGAAACAAAGAAAACAATACAAAAAATCAAGGAATCTAAGAGTTGGTTCTTTGAAAGGCTAAACGAGATAGACAAACACTTTACCCAGTTAACCAAAAGAAAGAAAGAGCAAATCCAAATTAACAAAATCAGAGATGAAAGTGGAAACACCACAACAGGCACCAAAAAATTTAGAACATTATAAGGAGATACTTCAAAAACATATATTCAATTAAATTTTAAAATCTAAAAGAAATGGATGGATTTCTACTCTGAATTCATGGAAACCACCAAAGTTAAACCAAGAAGAGTTCAATAGCTTAAGTAGACTTGTAACAAATAAGGAAATTGGAACAGTAATACAAAATCTCACAACTAAAAAAAGTCCAGGCCCAGATGGATTTACAGCAGAATTCTACCAGAGATCTAAAGAAAATATATAATCAGTACTTCTTAAATTATTCAAAAGGATAGAAGCAGTGGGAGAACTCCCAAACTCTGTCTATGAAGCCAGTATAACTCTAATACCAAAACTAGGTAAAGGCACAACAACAAAAAATAAAACTATAGACCCATATTCTTAATGAACAAAGATGCAAAGATTCTCAACAAGATACAGTCAAACTGCATACAGACACACATCAAAAAGATCACCTACCACCATGATCAAGTCTGCTTTATTCTAGAGATCCAGGATGGTTCAATATACGTTAATAAATGTAATAAAACATAAATGGACTGAAAGTGAAAAATCACATGGTCATCTCAAAAGATGCAGAAAAGGCCAAAATGTATTCATTTAAAAGTCCTAGAGGGAATCGAACTGGAGGGAACATACCTCAACATAATTAAAGCCATATATAACAAACCCACAGCCAACATCATTCTAAATGGAGAGAAACTGGAAGCATTCCCATGGAAATCAGGAACTAGACAAGGCTGTCCACTATCTCTACTCCTTTTCAATACAGTTCTTAAAATTCTTGTTAGAGCAAAAGACAAGAGAAGGAAATTAATGGAGAACTAATTGGAAAAGAGGTAAGATTATCACTATGTGCAGATGATCTATCCCAAAAATTCTACCAGAAAAACTACTAGAAATGAATAATACTTTCAGTAAGGTAGCAAGTTACAAAATTAACATAGGAAATCAGTAGTCTTTCTATATATCAATAACAAGCAATCAGAAAAAGCATTCAATGAAACCCTACTATTCACAATAACCTCAAAAAATATTTAAAAATAAACCTAATCAAAGACATTAAAGACCTCTACAACAAAAATTTCAAATCTTTAAAGAAAGAGATAGAGGAAGACACCAGGAGATGGAAGGACCTACTGTGCTCATGGATTGGTAGAATTAGTATTGTGAAAATGACCATCTTACCAAAAGCAGTCTATGCTTTCAACACAATGCCAATCAAAATACCCACAACATTCTTCACAGAGGTAGAAAAAAAATCATTCTAAAATTCATATAAAATCAGGGAAGATCCCAGATATCCAAAACAATCTTGGGCAAAGAGAACAATTCTGGGGGAAATCACCCTACCAGAGTTAAGGTTATATTACAGAGCTATAGTCATAAAAACAGCATAGTACTGGCACAAAAATAGATATGTAGATCAATGGAACACCATAGAAGACCCAAACATGAGTACATGCAATTTCAGTCATCTGATATTTGACAAAGGTGCCAAGAGCACACAATGGAGGAAAGACAGCATCTTCAACAATTGGTGCTGGCTAAACTGGATCTCCACTTGTAGAAGAATGAAACTGGACCCTTTCATCATGCCTAAAAGCCAACTCCAAATGCATCAAAGACCTCAGTGTAAAACCTGAAACTCTGAAACTACTAGAAGAAAACATAGGTAATACCCTACAAGACACAGGTGTAGGAAAGGACTTTCTAAATCGGATTATCAGTTGCCTACATCGTAAAGTCAAAAATCAAATGGGATCTCATTAAGCTACAAAGCTTCTGTACGGCCTAGGAAGTGAAGAGGAAGCCCACTGAGTGGGAGAAAAATCATATTCCACACATTTGACAGAGGATTGATATCTAGAATATACAAAGAACTTAAAATACAAAGAAACAAGAAAATAAAAGACCCAATAAAAAGAAGGGCTATAGCTCTGAAGAGAAAGTTTTCAAACCAAGAAATAAAAATGACTAAGAAACACCTTAAAAAGTGCTCAACATTCTTAGCAGTTAGAGAAATGCAGATCAAAACCACTTTAAGATTCCATCCTACCCAAGTCAGGCCTGCTAAGGTCAAGAGAACAGAAGACACCAAGTGTTGGTGAGGATGTGGAGAAAGAACACTCATCCACTGCTGGTGGGAATGCAAACTCCTGCAACCACTATGGAAACAGTGAGTGTGGAGAACTCTTAAAAAACTGAAAACGAATGTACCATATTATCTGGTTATACTACTCCTTGGCATATACCCAAAGGACTCATCCTCCTGTAAAGATACCTGTACATCCATGTTGGTTGCTGCTCTCTTCACAATACCTAAGAAATGGAAACAACCTAAATGTTCCTCAAATGATGAATAGATAATGAAAATCTGGTACATTAATACAATGGAGTTCTACTCAGCAGTTAGAAAAGATGAAATTGTGAAATTTGCAGGTAAATGGATGGAACTAGAGACTATTATACTAAGTGAAGTAACACAGACTCAGAAAAGCAGGGGACTATGTTCTCCTTCATTTGTAGAACACATATCAATCCCTCACATGTAAGCACATACAAAATGGAAAGGAAACACAGAGGTAAAGGAAAAGAAAAAGTCTGAAAGAAGGGGATATTAGGGAATAGGTATTGGAGGGGGTAGCTGGAGTGTTCGGCTGGAAGTGGGGAGAGAGGGACATGGAAGGGACCATGGAGGTAGGGGAGGAGGTAACTCAGGAGAAGAGGAATGGGGGAGCTGGGTATTATCAGGAGGGTGGGGATAATGTGGGTGCTTGGACTTGGGAGGGAGGAGAGAGGTTGGACTGGGAGAGAGAGGAGAGATGAATGGATCATAGGTAGTGTGGGAAGACAGAGGGAAATGTGCTGGTTTGGGAGCCCCCTGAGAAATACACATACAGTATCTGAACATTAGTGCATGTGTAGGCCCGGGGGCTGTATGGCAAGGAACATGGTGCCAGACAGGAGAGACTGCCCTTCTGGTTGGTCAGAGTAATCCAAAAGACTCCCCAAAATAATATAGAATATTGCCAGGTCCCCTGGTTATCTCCCAGAACTGGAAGGTAAGACCTCACTGCTGAAGACAAGTCATACTTCAGACATAGAACTTGGAGCAATGGAGCAGGAGCTGACCTGAAAGCCTTTTCCTCAAGGACTAACTCTCATAGTTTTAGAAGATACTCTGCAAGCTGCTAAGGGAGAAAAATCAAGCAATGGTTCAGTGTAGTCCTAAAGTTGAATAAATATAACAATTGGCACAGCAAACTACCTCTGCTGGTGCAATAGTGGCAATGTTATCTGGTGGGTAATCAACAGTGATCTAATTGGATTTAAAGTCCTCTCACTGGGAGGGAACTCACAGGTGGCACTGTAAATATAGTCAAATATACATGGCAGAAGGTCATAGATCCTAAAGAAAACCCTATCTCTGTCATATCACTAGACAAATGAAATTTCTAACAATATGCTAAATATGGATCCTTATATTTACAGACAAGTACATTATACCACTCATCAAAGGAGCTTCTTTTTGCAAGAGAAGAGGCTACTGCAGAGTTCCACAACTGGTCAGAGAGAATATATTTCTGAGAGATGCCCAGCCTTAAGTGACACATCTACAGTGGAACCTCTATACCTAAAGCACACAAAACAGTGGAACAGGGGGTGAAGATAATACCAGTGCCCTTACTCAACTCTCACCAGGGAAGCTTCCTAATAGAACAGAGTGCAATGTACACAGAAGGCCACAAGTGGTTAAGTTTTAGAAAATAAGAGACTGCAGAGTGTGTGTCCTTGGATAGGACTCCTATATTAAACCTCACGCACCCATGGCTCAGGGACCATTGTGGAAGGGGTAGGAGGAGATTGTAAGAGCCAGGGTTGGTTGATGAATATAAGGAAACAAAGGCTCAAGGTACTTGTGGCAACAGTGACGTTGAGCACAAGATCCATGCTGACTTAATCAGACAAGAGCCCCAGAGTAGTGCGAGGGAAATGGGAGTAGGTCAGGTCCTAGCCTGAGAACTATTGGAGACTAATTACTGCTGGGTAGGAGAGAGTAGAACTTCTCAAGATCTATAGCTAGGCTGCATAGACTCCAGTGGATGAACCTGAACCAAAGGACATTGGAGACTTAACATGCATGGCTGAATACAAGCGGTCCAGATTTTGAGGAGGGAAGCGGGGGGTCTTAATTTGATTAAAAACTGTTGTATGAAATGTATGAAAGCTCAATAAAATATTTTAAAATATTTTTTAAAGCACATTTCATGATTTTGCCTTAGATTAACTAGGAAATATTCTTTAATGTGATAAGTATCTAGGTAAAGTATTATAAAAAGGAGAACTTCAGATTACTGTGATGGCAAAATTGTCATCCTTAATAAGGGTGTTAAAAGAAGCACAGAACTTTATTTCTCAATTTCTTCATTGGCATTCAAACCCAGTTCTATCTGACGCAGATGTCAGAGTTTTTAAGTACTATCCTGCACTGGGTTATCAGTAACGGTTCTCTAGTCAGCACTGACCATCACACAAAAAACAATACAGTGATGTAACAGGTGCTACTGAAACACCTAGAAAAGGTGATGGAGAATGGACTTGCTCTACCAGACATACAAACAAAATGCCAGACTTATTAACAGTAGTGGCAGAAGAACAGACAAAAGGAAGGAACGAGAAAGAGTTAAGTCAAATCACTGAGAATAACAAGTGATTAAGAGTTATTCAGTTTTCCATTTGCAGAAACTGAAGTTAGATTTCCTAAAACACTACATATTTTAAATAGATGACTATAGCCATAAATGTAAAAATGGAGCCAGGCATGATAGTATACACCTTTATTCCCAGTACTCAGGAGGCAGAAGCAGGTGGATCTCTGTAAGATTGAGGCCAGCCTGGTCTACATATCCAGTTCCAGACCAACTAAGACTATAGGGAGACCCTGTCTCTAAAAGATCTAAATAAATAAATAAAAATAAATAAATGTAAAAACCAAAAAAAATTTAATCTTTTTTCTTAGGGTCTTCCTAAGTCACTATGTAGACCAGTGCTGGCCTTGATCACACAGAGATCCACCTGCCTCTGCCTCCAGAGGCCTGAGATTAAAGTTGTGCGCCACCACGCCCAGTGAGAATCATACAAAAAAACTTAAATCATACACCTCGGAAGTCAGATTAACTGGTGAAAAAGAAACGAAGATAAGTGGAAGAAAATGCTGTAATATACAGATCTATTAAATAACATCTCTAATACAAAATTTTAAAAATAAAAGACATGCTCAACTGAAAATACCAACTATAAACTAAGACTTTTCATAAACAAGATTGATACACTACAGTAAATATATAAAACCTTAAGTTTTTATAAGATTATTTTATTAAAGAATCATATTTTGGTATAGTTTTTGTTAAATACTGCAAGTTCTCCTTCTTTAATATTCAATCTGTGGGCTAGAGAGACGGCTCAGCAGTTAAGAGCACTGACTGCTCTTGCAGAGAACCTGGGTTCGATTCCCAGCACCCACATGGTGGCTAACAACCATTTGTAACTCCAGTTCCAAAGGAATCTAACTCTCCCTTCTGTCCTCTGCAGGCATTGCATGACATGGGCATACTTACATACATGCAGGCATACATTCATATACATAAAATAAGAATACATAATTTAAAAACATATTCAGTCCTTAAGGCTTGAAATAAACTAGTTTTTCAAGTCTGCCTAATTAAAACATCCATCAAAACCTAGATAAGAACTCATGTATATCAAGGTTTATTTTGGCTTCTAGACAAAGTATTCCTCTACTTGATAAATATCCAGAAAATAAAAGCCATTCTTGAATAAATATTCTTTGTGAGATGAAAAAAAAGATAATTTAAAAATTAAATAAAACAAGTCAAACCTTAATCTGGTTTTGATTTACAAATGCTCCTACAGTAACACTGGGAAGTTCAGACAGACGTCCAGTATAGAAAAGTAATCCACGAAGTTCATCAACCAACACTGAGGGAAGCTGAGCCTCCAAAGCCTCATAGGGATGGACACGAGAATCACGGCTCTCAGCATCTTGTACTTTCAGGCACCTAAAAAGTTATCAGGTAGAATAAACAAGGATCCGGATGAATACGCCCATAGATATTCACATAATAAGAATAAATACTTAATCTCTCATCCTACCTGAAGATGAAAACTTTTACATAGTGGAGAAATATTACACACTGCTGCCTAATATTATCTGCTTTGAAGTGTAGGGTAGATATTTTCCCTGAAAATAAACAGACACAGTTAATAATAATTTAAACAATTATGAGTGAGCAAAATTTTAGAGGCTGTTAACTGCAATTCTCTATTGTATAACTTTCTCCATTCACTACCATAAATTTCCTGTCCCGACTACTCCTGCAAAACTGTTATTACATGGGCTAGAGAGATGGCTCAGCAGCTAAGAGCACTGGCTGCTCTTGCAGAGGAGCCGGGTTCAGTTCCCAGTACCCACATGGTGGCTAACAACCATCTGTAACTCCAGTTCCAGGGGATAGCTACTCATCAAATTCCAGGCCAGCTGGGACTACAGGGAGATCCTGTCTAAAAAAAGATCAACAACAACAAGCTATCTAACCCCCAAAACCCGATCTACACCCCACACCTTTCCTTTGTATTCCAAACCCTGCACACAAAACTGCCTAACTCCTATAACTCTCAGATCTTATTGCCTGACAGTATTCAGATAGAACCAGTAATGCATCTTTCCAAACTAGTTCATCCTGTCCATGTAACCAATATCATTCTTTTTTTCCATATGCTTTAACTTAATAGCTTATGTACCAATCTTACTAAGATCACAACAAACAGATCTTGAAACTATTTATTTGCCTTATAACCTCCTGAGCTGCTGGTAACAGAATGGCCATCAAATTTCTGCATATCTTTTACCTTCCTACTTAAACTATATATAAATTTTTTAAAAGATTTTATTTTTAATTACATGTGTGTGTGTGTGTGTGTGTGTGTGTGTATGTGTGTGTGTCTGTGTGTCCTCTGCAAGAGTGGTACCCTTTTTTTTTGTATTTTTAACCACTGAACCACCTCTCCATCCTATGAATTATTGTTGCTTCCAAATAAAAACAAAAGGATACAATATTCAGAATGAAATAAAAATTCCTTATGATATGATTTATAAGGTCCAAATGAATTTAAATAATTCCGGTTTTTCTCCCAATCTTGCAACATGTCATTTTTAACCTAGTTACTTTAACACTGAATGGCCAGAATTATCCAATAAAAAGACACAGGCTAGTTGAATGGATTAAGAAACAAAATCCGTATGTTTGTTTTCTGCAAGAAAATCATCTCACCTTCAAGGACAGGCACTACCTTAGGGTGAAAGGATGGGAAAAAAAAAAATTCCAAGCAAATGGCAAGCAGATGTTCCAATTCTAATAGCTGACAAAATAGACTTCAAATTAAAAGTAATCAGAAGAGATAAAGTCATTTCATTCTAATCAAAGAAACAACCAATAAGATATTAAAAACATGAACATATGCACACCAAAGTCTGGTGCACTCAATTTCATAAAATGGTACTACAGGACTATAAAACACAGATTAACCCCAACTCAGTAATAGTACGTGACTTCAATGCCCCACTATCTCAAATAGATAGGTTAACTGGACAAAGAATAAACAGAACATCTGAATTAAATGGCATCTTACATCAAAGAAACCTAACAGATATCTAAAGAATATTCCATCCAAGCACCAAAGAACATACTTTTTACTCGGCATCCCATATAAGTTTCTCTAAAATTGACCACATTCTCAGACAGAAAACAAACCTCAACAAATACAAAAAAAAATTAAAATAATTCCATGCATTCTATCATACCACAAAAATCAACAGCAAAAGAAGCTCTAGCAAATACATGAACTCATGAAGATTAAACAACACACTCCTGAATGATGAATGGATCAAATAAGAAATTTTAAAAAGAAATAAAAGTATTCCTAGAACTAAATGAAAAAGATAATACAACAAAACCTCTGGGTCACTTTAAAAGGGTGGACTCCTTTCTTAGCAGGGGCTTCCTGCCTGACTCATCTGGAAAATGCCTCCAAGCACAGATGCCTGGCCTTATTTGGAACATGACCTTTGGCATAGTTACCTGCAATAAAACTGCCCCCAGGTTTTTTCTATATGATAATCAGGCACTGCCCTGTAGCCAGATGATAGGACCCCTACCACATGTAAATAAAGCACACTGTGAGCACCTAGCAGCTGAAGCTTTGACTGCCGCCTCCACACTACCTTTTCCCTGACTCCCACTGAACAAGCAGAGCTGTCACTGAATCTGACTCCCTGGAAGGTCTTTTCCATCCTGCTCACTGGCTGTCCTGACCCCATTCGTAGCTTCTGCTCCCTTTGTTCTTATGGGTCGGTGGCCAACGGCCCACGAGGGGAGGGAGAGACCCACACTAGTAGATGAGAAGAAATAAGAAAAATCAGAGTAGATATTAATGAAATAGAAACAAAGAAAACAGTACAAAGAATCAATGAATCTAAGAGCTGGTTCTTTGAAAAGCCAAACAAAAGTAACATACACTTAACCCAGTTAACCAAAAGAAAGAAAGAGCAAATCCAAATCAACAAAATTAGAGATGAAAGCAAAACATCACAACAAACACAGAAAAAAAAATCCAGAACATTATAAATGAATACAATAAAGCCTATACTCTTATTAAATCTGAAAAACTAAAAAGGAATGGATGAATTTCTAAATTCATGGCAATCACCAATGCTAAAACAAGAAGAGATCAACAGTTTAAACAGAGTCATAACAAATAAGGAAATTGACACAGTAATACGAAACCTCTGGACTAAAAAAGTCCAGGCCTGAATGGATTTACAGCAGAATTCTACCAGACATTCAAAAAAGATCTACAACCAATACTTTTAAAATTATTCAAAAAGACAGAAACAGAGGGAGAACTCCCAAACTCCTATGAAGCCAGTATCACTCTAATACCAAAACCAGGTAAAGACACAACAAAAAAGGAAAACTACTAGAAGAGGCAATGCCCTACAAGATATAGGTGTAGGAAAGGACTTTCTAAATCAGACACCAGTTGCTCAAAAATCAACAACTGGGACTTCATTAAACTAAAAAGCTTCTGTACAGCAAAAGAAACAATAATGGAAGTGAAGAGGAAGCCCATTGAGTGGAAGAAAATCAGCCCAAATGTCCCTCAACTGACATGGACAATGAAAATGTGGTACATTTACACAACAGAATTCTACTCAGCAGTAAGAAAAGATGAGATTTGCAGGTAAATGGATGGAACTGTTATACTAAGTGAACTAACAGACTCAAAAAAGCAAGTGACTTATGTTCTCCCTCATTTGCAGATTGTTGCAGCAATCCCTTATGTGTGAGTATATATCAGGAACCAGGAAAACAGAAAGGAAATGGAGGTAATGGGAAAGAAAGAGCCTAAAAGACGGGGACAGTGGGAAACAGATATTACCAAGGGCGAAATGGGAAAAATGGGGGTATTCAACTGAGAAGGGAAGAAGGAAGGACGTACAAGGAACCATGAGGGTAAAGGGTAAGAATGAACTCAAGATGAGGGGTAATAGGAGACAGGTATTATCAAGGAAAATGGGGCACTTAAACTGGGGAGGGAGATGGGAGGTTAGACAGGAGAGAGGAGAGATTAATAAAAGCTTAAGTGGTATAAAAAGCCAGAGGGAAATGTATTAACTCAAAAACCCCCTGAAAAACATATATAATATCTAAATGTTAGTGTATTTTTGGCTATATAACAAGAACACAGTGCCAAACAGGAGAAACCTCCCTTCAAGTTATGGATCAGGGTAGTCCAAGAGACTCTCAAAATAACACAGGCTGTTACCACAGCCCTTGATTACCTCCCAGAATGTGAAGGTAAGACCCTATTACTGAAGACAGGATATATTTGCAGCAATAGCTAGAACAGACCTAGAAGCCTTTTCCCTGAAGACTAGCTCTCATAATTCTAGAGGATATTATGCAAGCTGCTAAGGGAGAAAATCAAGCAATAGTCCAACCCAGTCCTAAAGCCGAATGTACGTAACGACTAGCACAGCAAACTACCTCTCTATTGGTGCAGTAGTGGCACTGTTATCTGAGGGTAATCAACAGTTATCTAACTAGACTTAAAATCCTCTCAATGGGAAGGAACTTATGGGTGGCACTGTAAATATAACCAAATACGCATGGCTGGAGAGGTCATAGATCCTAAAGAAAACCCTATTTCTGGCATATCTCTAGAAAAATGAAATTTCTTACTGTATGCTAAATATGGATCCTTACATTTACAGACAAGTATATCGTACACCACTCATCAAAGAAGATTCTTTTTGCAACAGATGGAGACTATTACCGAGTTCCACAACTGGTCACATATAAAGAATATTATATCTGAGAGATGCCCAATCCTAAGTGAAACATTTACAGTGGAACCTCTAGGGCTAAGGCTCATGGAACACAGCAGAACAGTGGGTAGAGAGAACAATGATACACCCCTCAACTCTTACCAGTGAAGCTTCCTCCAACAACAGAGTGCAGTGCACACAGAAGGCCACAGCTGGCTAAGTTTTGGAGAATAAAAGACTGCAGAGTGTGTGTCCCTGGACAGGACTCCTTTATTAAACCTTACCCCCAATAGCTGAAGGACCATTGCAGAAGAGGGGGCAGAAAGATTATAAAAGCCAGGGTTAGTGCATAAACATAAGGAAAGAGGCTTTCAGGCCACTAGGAACTTGCTCATATGAACTTTCAACAATGGTGACAGCACGCACAAGACCATGCTGACTCAATCAACCATCTGTAACTCTAGTTCTAGATGACCTGACATTCTTTTTGAATCTCTGTGGGCACTGCATGACATGGGTGCCTTTTACATACATGCAGACAATACACCCATAAATATTTGTTGTGGAATATCTTGTGACCGATTTTGCCTTTTGCCTTACATACCTATCATGCTGGAATGCATTGCTTCTAATGGGGCATCTGGCCTGCTAGAGTATAACAGGATACTAGTCTGCAATGCTAATAAGGGATCCCATATGCTGTGTTGTGATTGGACTATTACCCTCATATAAGCCCATACTTTCTTGCAATAAAGCAGATCTGTGTCACTGAACCTGGTCTCCTGCACCTGAATGCGGCGACACTGGCACAGACTCCTCACCAGCCCTGGGGTCTGGACCGGATGACTGATGGGAAGAACTAAAAGAGCAGGAGAGCAGCCATAGCTGGAGGAGAGCAGCCACAGCTGGCGACCACAAATATTCATTATTATTATTTTATTCATAAAATAAAAATAATACAATTTTTTTAAAAAACTGCATTGGGCATGGTGGCGCACGCCTTTAATCCCAGCACTAGGGAGGCAGAGGCAGGCAGATATCTGTGAGTTCAGTTGGGGCTACAGGGAAACTGTTTCAAAAAGACAAAAAAAAAACAACCCTGCATTGTTTGCCAGGCCTGGTGGTACATGCCTTTAATCCCAGCACTCAGAAGGCAGAGGCAGGTAGATCTCTGTAAGATCAAGGCCCAACATGGTCTACATAGTGAGTTCCAGCCCATCTAGGGCTGCAGGGAAACCCTGTCTCAAAAAAGACCCCCTAAAAAATTCATTTTAGAAACCTAAAAAAAAAGTGGTGTTTGACCTGAATCATAAATAATTCTGTTTAAATTCAAAACCAAACATGGCTGATTTGGGGGAAAGCCAATGGGATAATAAACATGAGATTGTGTCAAGAGCTACATAGTAAACTGCTCTTTCCTGTAATTTCACCAATACAAACTCTAAGTTTGGTTTGTCCCTTCCAAAACTTCTGTTGACATCTGACTGCCATTGCAGTGGTACTGGGAGTTAAGGGGCTTAAGAGAATTAATGTCATCTTGGGGGATTCTCAGTGTAGGACTAGTTACAAGGACCGTGAGCTGCTATAATGTGAGTTCACCCCTCGCATCTCTTTCACCAGTGCCCATGATATGATGTAGAATGAGTCCTTCATAAATGAGGCCAGGTCTTAAACTTCCCAGACTCTAGATCCATACCTAAATAAGTCTCTTTATAAATTATAGTCTCAAGTATTCTGCTACGGCAGTGGAAAACAGACTGAGATAATTCCCATTCTCACTATTCTCAGCTCATAAAAATTGTACTCTAAAAATAACCATTATGAACCTCTGTATTCACACAAAATGGAATAAAAAGATCAGACTTTCTATAATTTAAATGTAAACACTAGAAAGCAACAAAAAGTTTTCAGGTACTAGACACATGGCAATACAAGAATTCTACCTCAGAAAGTTGGTGGCCTTATAATCATATCGGCTTCTCATCTACAGACAGCTTCCAAGCTGCTCCAGATAGATCTCAACTCATTAAGGAGACAGGTGATCTCAATTTAGAGAAGTTAAATTTAGTGGACAAAGTACTAAAGAAGAAAGCAATCTTACCAAAAGAAAAAAAAGCTCTGGACAGGTGTCGAGTCTTTGAACGAATATTGGTCTATTCAATGAGAAGAAATATCTCCTAAGGCTAGAGAAGACCCCCAGAAAACAACTCCCTATAAAGTGTACATCTCTCAAAGACAGTTCAAGTACAAATAAAAAGAACTTCAAACACCAGGCACTAGACAGAGAAGCTTCACCAGGCTTCTTCCTAGGCTACTAGAGGTTGTTCGTAGAAGCCCTAACAAAACTTAATATAAATCTCAGAAAAAGCCAATATTCAAGTATTCAAGAGAAAACTGTAACAAAAATTAATAGCTAGGTAAATATTGAGAAATCCAGGAAGCAAATACATAAAATCATAGCATAATATCACTAGCCATTCACTGAAGCAGAAACATGTATCACAGAACCAGGAGAAAAACTAATTAACAGAAACAGATCAAGAAGTAACGTTGATAGAAGACTCATGTCAACAAAGTTTTCAACAGTGAGTATAAATGTACTTCACATATTCAAAGTAGATACACTCTGCCTCAACCAAAAGCAAAGCCAGGAACCTCAGGAACAGAAGTGATCTACACCGGGCAGTGGTATTTTGCATATCTGGCATGAAACAGAGTCCAAGATGGTAATGACACAATGACTATGTTTACTCACATCTTATAAAAACAAAACCAAGGCAGACCTGACTGCAGCTAGACCACGACGATCCTTAATAAAAATAAACAACTGTCATAAAATACAAAAATAATATAGGGCCATTCTGATTATGGTGAAATGACCAAAGCAAAAACTTTAAAATCACATCTAAACACAGAAATAAGGCACCACGCAATTGCACCACATAAACTCAAACACACATCGTCTTCAAGCTCTACATCTACTACTTTGTTAGTGAGGACCTTTCCCAACCTTCACGACTCATCAAATTGTCTAGGCTCCTTAACTATATCCAACTCAGAATAAAGTCCTATTGCCCTTAAACTTTATCCCAAATCAGCAAGCACATGTGTTTTCTCCACGCTTTGGTAAATTAATGAACCTATTTGACCAAAAGTATGTTCCAGGTGATCATTAGTTGCTAGGCATCATAATGACACATACTGATCCAAACACTTAACATGTGTTATGGAATTTAAACTTTACAATAACTAAATAAGGGAGGAATTATTACATAAAGACACACACAGTTAGCTGGGTTTGTAATACAGGCTGACCATAAGTCATGGCTCCAAATATTATATTGCACTAAAAAGGAGACGCTGTTGGCCTGCAAGAAAACCACTGTGGTCAAGTTCTTCACAATCTAAGTGTAGCATTCCTCCTAAAAGGAATAATCTATCAAATGCCAAAAGGAAACAAAAGTAGACAGCAGGAAAGAGGATCAGGAGGGTCAGGAGGGATATTACTTTTTGTCTCATGTTCTCCATCCCACTCTCACCTCCAAAGTTCTAATTCACTTCAGAAAAGTTGAGCTTCTCAAGTCAGATTTATATTAAAATCTGCATTAACTGAAAAAATACTATAAATCTCAGCTATAACAAAAGTTAATGTCATACCTTTGCAGAACACTAAATGCACTATACTGTGACTTTGACCCAACATTTACTTTTATTTATTTATTTTTATAACTTTTACAAAAACTTTATTGAGAATTTCATACATGCATATAAGATGTTTTGATCAAACCCATGCCCACTCCCTCCCCTCCAACATTCCCCCGCCCTCTGAAGAGGTAACCCTAAAATCCTTTAAGGATTAGATACAAATACTTTTGACATTTTTGGCCTTTGGAACAGAGTACGTTGCTAACAGGCCCAAGGACATTTTGACTTTTAGCCAAGAAACTGGCTACTTTTCTTTGGGGTCTTTTTACCCTAACTGCATATCATAGCCCCATGTGAAAGTCAATGCAATAGAGCAGCATTCCGTTTTGTAATTAAGCACAACTCAAACTTACCAAAATCACAGTTGATCTGTAATAAGGATTCCAACTTGTATAGTTGTTGCCTAATCAATCAATAAATAAATAAGGTGGGAATTAATTTTAGTGTACTGAAAGCATGTAAACAAATGGATACTGTTTCTAAGACTAGTGTTGATAATGTTTAACACTTTGTGAATGTCAGCTTCAGACACTGAAAGTTTTGAAAGATACAATACACTGCCAAAACTTCTAGAAATAGCTAAAACCATTTCAGAATCAGACTTCAATATCAGTACCATATTGTTTATAGCCTTAGGAAACTTAAGATACATAAAACATTCTAGGTTAAGTTATACAATGAAATGCTAAATTGTACAATAGAGCTATCAACGATTCAAAAACAGAATAGAGTCCTAGCACTTGGGAGGCAGAGGCATGCGGATCTCTGTGAGATTGAGGCCACCCTGCTCTACACAGTGAGTTCCTTAGTTGAGGCTAAGGGAGACTCTGTCTGAAAAAATAAAAATTAAATGTCTTATAATGCCTCATTTAATTCCTGATAGTAATCACATGTCATTCTTCTGCCTTGTCTTCAAACTCTTTAAAGACTGGCCCATATACATGATCTGTATTTTGGATAAAGACTCAGTCACACTAATGTTCAAGATTACATAAAATCACTTGGCTTGCTCTCTCAAAAACAAAAACAACAAAAACATTAATACAGCAAAGATACCCTAATGTCTCTTTGAGGGCTAATGTAAAGGAAACTTCCTGGGACTTGTTCATTTTCATTTAAATGTACCATATACACATTATTAATGTTGATTTGGATACCATGTCTTAATTAACTGACCTTGATTAAAAATCACCTAAAAATCTAAAGATGGACTGTTTTAAATGAAAAACTAAGCTGTACCAATTACATAACATTTGTTTTTTGTTTTTAAAGAAATACATTCTGAAATATTTAAGGGTGAGACGTAATGCCTGGAATTCATTTATAAATACTAAAGCCAAACGAACAGGACAAGAACGATGAAAAAGCCTCGATGCTGTACCGGCAGCCAGTGGGGGCTGATCACACTATTCTCTTTACTTTTGTATGTGAGTGCATCTTTTTATTTAAACTTTTAATTTTTTTTAGAATTGTATATGAATACTGTACTTAACATTATTTCCATCTCTTCCCCCCTCACATGCCCTCCTGAACTCCTCAATTTTCTGTTCTCTTCTTTGTTACATGTATACATATGTCACATACACACACACACACACACACACACACACACAAACCTACTGAGTCCATTTAGTGGTGTTCAAATGTACATGTGTTTAGGGCTAAGCACTTGGGATAGGATAGCCTATCTGGGAGCTTGTCCCTGGAGAAAACTGATTCTCCCTCTCTCAGCAGCCATTAACTGCCTGCAGCTCTTCATCTAGAGACAACGTAGGGAAGCTCCCACTGGTATACATACAGATCAACCCTGACATTTAAGGTTTAGGGAACATCAAGGAAGAGAGGGAAGAAAAAGTTTAAGAGCCAGAGGGCCAGGATACCTGCTGCTAGACGCTGGATTCCATGACAGAGAAGATATATCCATGAAATTCCACGACATGGTCGCCTAAACAAGGCATGCATTATGACAAGACCAGCTGGCATGCCAATGTGGATGGAGGAAATTTCATAAGGTCCCACCACTAGATGTTTGAAATTTTTCATTAAAATATTTTTAAAGATGTTCAAATGGAGAACAAATGGTAATACACAGCCTGGCATATTTAAAAAAATATATGTTCATTTTCTACAGATTACAATACTACAGCTATTAAGCTGTATTAATTTTAATATATTTAAATAAAAAGTATTATAATTTTCTTCAAAAATTATATAAGGTAGTTCAAAGTCTTAAATCCTTTTCTTCAAAGTGTAAAAAAAAAAGATCAGGAGACTGGAGAGATGGTTCAGTGCTTAAGAGCACTTGCTGTTCTTCCAGAGTACCAGGGTTCAGTTCCCAGCACCCACATAGCAGATAACAACTGGTAACTCCATTTCTAGGGGATCCAATGCCCTCTCTGGCCTCCTCAGGCTATGCATGATGGCTCACGCCTGTAATCCCAGCACACAGGTTGAGTCAGGAGGATTACAATGAATTTCAGACCAGTAAGAGCTACATATTGGCTACACTATGAAACCCTATCTTTACACACACACACACACACACACACACACACACACACACACACACACACACAGAGCTGGAGAGATGACTCCAAGGTTAAGAACACTGACAGCTCTTGCAGAGGACCTGGATTCGGTTCCCAGGACCCACATGGCAGCTAACAACCATCTGTAACTCCATTTCCAGGGGATCTGATGCCCTCTCTGACTTCTGTGGTAACTGCATGTCATGGGTGCACTTACATATATGCAAGCAATACACTCATACACATAAAATAAAAATAACATTTTTTAAAAAGACATGTACAATACATATAGTATATGTTATGTACATATACAAATAAATTTATTAGATGGGGTACAGCTCAGTGGTAGAATGCTTGCCTAGCATATAAGGGCCTGAATTTGATCTCCAACATCACAAAAAAACATAATAAAGACTCTGAAAAAGCAATTTAAAAAAATTCAGTGAAACCATTATTTCAGGTCAGGTGTAGTAGCATGCACTTTTGATCCCAGCATTCAAGAGGCAGCAGCAGATGCAGGTGGGTCTGTGAGATTGAGGCCAGCCTGGTCTATGTAACAAGTTCTGGGCCAGCTAGGGCCACAGGCAGTTCCTATCTCAACAAACAAAACAAAACCCCATTACTTTATCAGTCATTATTGCTTGATTATCATTACTGGTAAGAAAATGAAGTAGCAACAAGCATAATTCCACAAACGCTTCTGTAATCACTGTTAGAAAATACCCAGCAACATAAAACTGAAAGCGTTTGGACTCAGTAAAACAGAGAAAAGCCTCAGTCTAGAATGAATGAAATGGGAAACAGAATATCAGCACTGGCGGACAAAGTTGAAGAACTGGACCACTCAAGCAAAGATTATGAAAAATTTTTAAAAACACAGGAATGGTATATACAAGAGATGTGGGACAACATAAAAAGACCAAATCTATGTTATCACAGGCACAGAGAAAAGAGAAGAACTTCAGGTTAATGGTATTGACCAGATCTTAAACAGAAGAGAATTTCCCAAAATTAAGGAACAACATCCCCATATAAATACAGGAAGCACATAGAACACCAAATAGACAGGATCAGAAAAGAAACTCCCCACGACATAGCATAGTAAAAACACTAAATGTGCAGAACAAAGACAGAACACTGAAAGCAGCAAAAGAAAAACAAGTCACATACAAAAGAAAGCCCATCAGAATTACAGTTGACTTATCAATGCAAACTATGAAAGTCAGAAGAGCCCTGGACCAAGGTATTTCCAGTTCTACATGACAATAGGTGCCAGTCCAGAATACTTTACCCAGCAAAAAAGTCTATTATAGTTGAGGGGGAAAGAAAAGTTTTCCATGACACAAAGCCTGAAAGAATACATAGTCCAAAAAAACAGCCCTTCAAAGAAAAACTGAACCAATACAAAGAGCCAAGAAAGGAACAACTACACCCTAGGAGCAACAAAAGAAAATAAAGGTGTAACTGAGGAAACACACAATTAGAGAACACAAAAAGCAATTAAAATGATGGCAACCAACACACATCTTTCAATGACCGTCAATATCAATGGACTGAACCCCCCAGTCAAAAGACACAGGCTAAGTGAATGGATAAAGAAACAAAATCCAGGGCTGGAGAGATGGCTCAGTGGTTAAGAGCGCTGACTGCTCTTACAGAGAACGTGGGCTGGATTCCCAGCACCCACATGGCGACTACAAACCATCCTTAACTCCAGTTCCAGGGGAATCCAAAGCCCTCTTCTGACCTCTGCGGCATTTCACGACATGGGTACACTCACATACATGTAGGCAATATGCTCATACACATAAAATAAAAATGATAAATAAAATGTTAAAGAAACAAACAAAAAAATCCATCTCTTTGCTGTCTGCAAGGAACCCATCTCGCCTTCAAGGATAGACCTCACTATCTTAAGGTAAAAGGATAGAAAAGAATATTCCAAGCAAATGACACTAATATCTGACAAACAGACTTCAGACAAAAATTTATCAGAAGAGATAAGGAGGGTCACTTAATTCTGATCAAGGAACAATTAACCAAGAAAATATTACAATCCTTAACATATATGCACCAAACTCTGGTGCACCCAAATTCATAAAAACTACAGGACTTTAAGACAGAGCTTAACCCCAACTCATGAATAGTAGGGAACTTAATACCTCACTGTCTCCATTAGACAGGTCAACTGGAAAAAAATAAACAGAAAGATGTCTGAATTAAATGATACCATACATTAAATGGACCTAACAGACATCTTTTGAATATTCCACCCAAGCACCAAAGAATACACTTTATATTCAGCACCCCATGGAACGTCTTCAAAAACTGACCACAAAACAAACCTCAACAATACAAAAATATTGAAATAATTCCATGCATTCTATTGGACCACAATGCAATAAAGCTCAAAATCAACACTGGACAAAGCCCTAGCCACTACACAAACTCATGGTAGTCAAACAACACACTGTTAAACGAGTGGGTCACAGGAGAAATTAAGAAATAAACAAAAGAATATCTGGAATTCAACGAAAAGGACAATACAACACAACACAACCTCTGGGACACTTTAAAAGTAGTCCTAAGAGGGAAGTTTATAGCTCTAAGTGCCTACATTAAAAAATTAGAAAGAGCCCAAATAAATGACCTAACACTGCAACTCAAGATGGAAAAGCAAGAACAAATGAAACTCAAACTCAGCAGAAGAGAAGAAATAACAAAAATCAGAGTAGAAATTAATGAAATTGAAACAAAGAAAACAATACAAAGAATCAATGAATCTAAGAGCTGGTTCTTTGAAAAACTATAGACAGAGCCCTAGCTGAGTTAACCAAAAGAAAGAAAGAACAAATCAACAAAATCAGAGATGAAAATTGAAACATCATAATAGATACACAAAAGACCCAGGCCATTATAAGAGAATATTGTAAAAACCTACACTCTACTAAATTTGAAAATCTAAAAGAAATGGGTGGATATCTAAAATCATGGGAACCACCAAAACTAAACCAAGAAGAGATTAACAGCTTAAACAGACCCATAACACAAAAAGAAATTGAAATAATACAAAGACTCCCAACTAAAAAAGGCCCAGGCTCAGATGGATTTACAGCAGAATTCTACCAGACATTTAAAGAAGACCTCCAATCAATACTAATTAAATTATTCAAAACAATAGAATCAGTGGAAGAACACCCAAATTTCTTCTATGAAACCAACATCACTCTAATACCCAAACCAAGTAGACACACACACACACACACACAAAAAAAGAAGCTACAGACCCATATCCTTAATGAACATAGATGCAAAAATTCGCAACAAAATACTTGCAAACTGCATACAGACACATATCAAAAATATCATTCATCATGATCAAGGAGGTGTTATTCCAGAGAGGCAGAGATGGATCAGTGTAAGAGAGTCAATAAACATCATTATCATTTAAATGGACTCAAAGACAAAAACCACATATGTCATCTCAATAGATGAGAAAACGCTTTTGACAAAATCCAGCATGCAGTTATGTTCAAAGTCCTAGAGGGAAGTGGACTAGAGGGAACATACATCAACATAATTAAAACTATATACAACAAACCCACAGCCAACATCATTCTAAATGGAGAAAAACTGGAAGCACTCCCATTGAAATCAGGAACCAGACAAGGATGTCCACTATCTCCACTCCTTTTCAACAGAGTGCTTGAAACTCTTCCTAGAGCAATAAGAGCGGAGAAGGAAATTAAAGGAGTACTAATTGGAAAAAAGAAGAGGTCAAACTATGCTTTTCGCAGATGATATGATACTATACCTAAGAGATCCCAAAAGTTCCACCAGAAAACTCCTAGAACTGATCAACACTTTCAGTATAGTGGCAGGTTATAAAATCAGTCTACAAACATCAGTAGCCTTTCTATATACCAATAACAAGCAATTGGAGAAACAATGCAGGGAAACACTCCCATTCACATCACAAGCGCTGCAAAAAAATAATAAAATACCTTGGAATAAATCTTACCAAAGACACCAAAGATCTCTACAATAGAAATTTTAAATCATTAAAGAAAGAGATTGAGGAAGACACCAGGAGACTGAAGGACCTCCCATGCTCATGGATTAGAAGAATTAGTATTGTGAAAATGACCATCCTACCAAAAGCCATTTAAAGATTCAACACAATGCCAATCAAACTTTCCATGACATACTTCACAGAATTAGAAAAAAATCATCCTTAAATTTGTATGGAAGCACGAAAGACCCCGGACAGACAAAGCAACCCTGAGCACAAACAGCAGTGCTGGTGGGCATTGCTACACCAGATTTCAAATTATACTACAGAGCTACAGTTATGAAAACAGCATGGTACTGGCACAAAAATAGACACCTAGATCAATGGAACATCATTGGAGACCCAACCTCTTATACAAAAAATTTCAGCCACCTGGTATCTGACAAAGGTGCCAAGAACACACAATGGAGGAAAGACAGCATCTTCAACAAATGGTGCTGGCAAAACTGGATCTCCACCTGCAGAATGAAACTGGATCCTTATTTTTCACCTTGCACACAAGTCAACTCCAAATGGATCAAAGACCTCAATGTGAAACTGGAAACCCTGAAACTATTAGAGGAAAATATTGGCAGTAACTTACAAGATGTAGGTATAGGAAAGGATTTTCTAAATCGGACAGAAGCTGCTCAGGAATTAAGGTCAAGTGGGACCTCATTAAACTAAAAAACTTCTGTACAGCAAAAGAAACGATCAAAAAAGTGAAGAGAAAACCCACATGAGTGTGAGGTCAACCCTGAGGGGCGTGGGAAGCCTACCAGTGGCCACATATTCAAGAAAGTGATTCTCCCTCCTCAGCATCTAGCAATTGGCAATAGCTCCTTAGTAAAGGATGGGGCCTGGGGAGCACTGCCACATCTGTGTCAGGATTTTGGCTGAGTTGATCTTATATAGGTCACGTGGAGGTAGCCAGAAGTTCCAAAGTACAGTATCCTTGTGAAGTCCCAAAGTTTTATGCTGTGAGTGGTGTCTGTCAGTTTTAATTGCCCATTGAGTGAATATTTGGAAGTTGGGCAGAGTTAGGTTTTTTAGTTCTTTACATATTCTAGATATTAATCTCCTGTCAGATGCATCATTGCCCAAGATTTCCTTCCTTTGTATAAGCTCTCTCTGCACTCTGTGTATTATTGCCTTTGCTGTGCAGAGGACTTTTAATTTAATGGAATCCCATTTGTTAATTCATGGAATGATTTCCTAAGCTATTGGAATCCTTTTTATAAAGTTTATTATTTCTTTCAGAAGTTTTGAAATTTTCAGGTCTTACTTTAAGGACTTTAATAGATGACTGGAAAATTCAGAAACAAGTAGGGAAGTATTATGCTTAAGTTTTTGGAAGTTAGGGAATGACATTGCCAAATTTATTATTACAATTGTCATTGTTCTAAGAAAGCTGCTCAGCTTCTAAAAGTAAATATTGCCCTCCTGCAAAGATACCTGCACACCCATCTTTACTGCAGCATAATTCTCAGGCAGGTTACAAAATCAGCCTAGCCTATCCATCAACAGAAAACGGATAAAGGAAATGTTTACACACACGCACACACACACACACACATTGTATTTTACTTACCATAAATCAAAACAAAATTATGTCATTCTCAGAACAGTGAATGGCCCTGAAGATCATCATGTTAGGCTAAATAAGCCAAACTCAGAAAGACAAGTATATGTTTTCTCCTATAAGTGGAATCTAGATTTAAATTTAAATTTATCCACACACATGTATAAAAGAAAGATCTGGGGAGAGGAAACAGACCAGTGAAGAGGGAAGCAGGGACAAGAGGTGAATAGAAGCAAAGTGTTCTCATGAAGCCCACTATGTAAGTGAATATATGTTATTAATATAACAAGATAAGCAAAATAAAAATAAGTGTTTCCGGAAAAAAAAAAAAAAGAGTTAAAACACACACATACCTGAACAAATGAAAGAGTTCTCGACATGAATTTACTAATGCAGTTTCAGTAACCCACAGGATGCCAAATATTTCTACTGTATCCTCTTCAAAATTAGTTGGTAAAGGATCGAGATTTAAAATTAATCTGTAATGAAAACACTGATTTAATTATTTGAATTCATACTATCCATGACATGTGTAAGTCAGGAAATGCTCAGGTGCCTTATACTTTATATAGTAAAAAGCAATATAATACAAGAAAAAGTTGAAAAGGAGTCTAGATAACATATATCTGCCTGTCTTTAACTGATGGTCTGTTTAACTGAAGTTGTAATATTTCATCCTGGAAGGAGACATTTGAGTTTTTAAAACAGCCAAATAAAATTCCAACTTATGTGTAAAGACCAGCATAACTAAGTTATGTAGGCTCTTTCAAGGTTTCTAGGATGGTAGAAGCACAAAGTCAACAAAAATAGTTTTCTTCTTGAAAGAAATTGCCTCTAAAGGTATTGCCAAGATATTTCAAGATCAGCAATTTTACTGCAGTATGTATACCGTGATGTAAAACTCTATGACTTCTGTATACACAGATACTTAGGACTGGCAGCAATTAGGGCAACAAAATGTGCATGTCTTAGTTATAAACTACTGAAAAGTTCTAGACTATCATTGTTCTTAAAGGGAAAGAACATTTCCAAAAACCTAGGTTGGTCAGAAATTTAAGTAAATTATAACTAAATTGGTGTCTCCAGTCCCCTACCCTGAGAGAACACTAATTACCAAGGAAGTTCTCCTTAATACTCAAAATACTGTTAGGTATGCTCTAAACAAGGAACTAACATTTACTGGAACCCTCTGATATACTAGGCCTATATACAAAACAAGACTTGGTGAACACCAAAATTTATGGATTAAAGTGGTAATTCCATAAGGTTCCTAACAAACTGATGGCTGACAAAAACGTCCTTTGTTTTTTTACCTACCGCTTAAGGGCTCCACTGGCAAGGTAGGACTCTCCAGAAAATTTTCCTTCTCCTTTGCTGTCAAAAGCACAAGAGAAGCAAGGGGGTTTGCACCATTCGGTCCCCAGCTCCAACTCTAAGCTGTCGGTCAGGAACGTCGACGGAGCAGAACAGCCATCCATTCTTTACATCATGCCCTGAAATGTTTGTGGTTCGTTATCATCAAGGCTGTAAAGTCACAAGGAGATCCCAGAAGTGCGGGGAGCTGAAAAGTTCGGGGCCACCTCGGAAACAGACCGACAGACAGGCACGCGCGCGCAAACACACACACGCACACGCTAAGAGGTCAACATCTGGAATTCTCGGAGCGTACACACACACACACACACACACACACACACACGCACGCACGCACGCACGCGCGAACACACACACGCACACGCTAAGAGGTCAACATCTGGAATTCTCGGAGCGTACACACACACGCACGCACGCACGCACGCGCGAACACACACACGCGCACGCTAAGAGGTCAACATCTGGAATTCTCGGAGCCTCCTCCTGGACCCCGCCCAAGGACCAAGGCTGCTAGACGTTAACATCTCGGGAGCTCCGGGAAGAGCTGGCAGGCCGGGTCCCCAGCCGCTCCGCTCACCCCCCTGTAGGTCTCCTGGCAGCAAGCCCGGGAAGGCGCCCGCAGGCCGGGTGGAGCCGTGGGAGGGCTCGCCGTCCGCCCGACAGTCCCGCGCGGCGCTCCGCCGAGCGCTCCCGGCCTCAGCTCGGCCTTCAGTCCCCAGACTCACGTCCCCGGCCCGCAGACGGCGCGAGCCCACGGGGACCAAACCGGAAGCAGGCGAAATTCCCGCCACCGAACGGCCCGCCCCCGCCGCCAGTCTGCAGAGGACTTCCGGGAACCTACTCAGCGCTGCCAGAGATCTCGCGAGAGTTTGTTGTCTGGCCAGTCCAGTCCTCCCTTCTTTTTTGTGTATGTTTAATTGGCTGCTGGACGGGGGACCTCCTTAGGAAACTGTAGCTGTCTCTGAGAAGGAAACGTGGAGGGTCTAGAACAGCTGGGACTGCATCGTGACAGGCCCCGAGGACCATGACTCCGCCGAGTCCCGCGGCCGCTTAGCTCACCCTGCGAGCCCCCTCCCACTCCAGCGCTGAGGCCGGCACCTGGATGCGTGATGGAGGTGATGGAGGTGATCGGAGGGCGCCTTCTGCTCTCTCGCCGAGGACTAGGACAGTGCCAGGTAGAAGCAGTCCTGTGTTTGGAGACACTGAATACCTCTGGTTGCTTTTTACTTAGGTCTAACAACTTTTCTCCCTGTGCATACATATAAACTAGCGTACCACAATGTTGTAAAATTATAGCCCATTCATAAATCTTTAAAATTGGTCCTTACCCAGAGATAGCATTCAAATAGTACCATCTTGAGATTTAAAGGAAAAAAAATCTGATTCCGATGTTTGCTCTACCTTTATTCAGCATTGCTTCATTCTTCCACAATATTTGTGTCTGTGTTCAATTATTTTATAGCGAACCTAAATCAAATACCATATATTTTCTGGCAGATGGGATGAAGTGAGAAAAAAGGACAATAGGATCCCACCACAGTTTAGGGCTAGCGAAATGAGTGTTATGTTTGTGCCACTCAGCTGAAGCAATTTAAGAACTGATGCTTTTCTGTAGACCATTTCACCGTATTAAGAGTCTATAGTAATTCTAGTCTGTATCATGAAGGTGTGTTCCACAAGAACCAAAAGAAAATGTTGGCACTGCGTTTAGGACAATTTAGTCAATAGATAACCATTAATCATCCTCCAGTTAATATCCAAATAGACTCTTGTTTATTGGTTTATTTGCTTGCTTTTAAGTATCTGAACACAAAGGTCACAAATAGTCAAATGGTCTGTAGATTGCTGGTCCTTGGACAGGACTCCTGTATTAAAGCTCACCCACCCAGGGCTCAGGGACCATCACAGAAGAGGGGGCAGAAAGATTGTAAGAACCTGGGAGGAGGTGCACGACCATATGGAAAGACAGACCTACAAGCTCCTGGGACCCTGCTAATATTCTATGACAATGGTGTCAGCAAACACAAGTCCCATACAAACTCGAGCAGACCAAAAGCCAGCATAGAACTGGGGAAATGAACAGCAGACCCCAATCTTAGCTGAACAAACACTGGCAATTGGTTGTTGCTAGGTGAGGAAAAGCTGATTGTCCTAAAACAAGGGACTGTAGATAGGCTGACTAGACGTCAGTGGAAGGACTTGCACTGGTGAACATCTGGGGACACTGATTTGATACAGTGGGCCTTAACACAGATGACAGTATACAGGTCCCAATGGGGGCTGCTAATGGGAGGGTGTCGGTGGGGATGGGGGTATAAAGATGATTAGGATTGTTTGAGATATTCTGTATAAAATACACAGAAATTCAATAAAAACAAATCTTTTAAAAAGTATCTGATGTTGGGTAATCAACTCACCTAAATCCAGTAAGTGGAATGAGAAGAACCAAAATAAGCTCTATGATTAAATTAATCTAATACCATTAACATGTTAGAATTTCATAAGGAAGGGTGATTGAAGTGATACTTATTGAGAGGGCCACTTACAGAGGTGTAGACAAGGTTAGTAGAAACCATAAACATGATAGCTAAGCACCCACAGTTAATAAGGGAGGCATTATCACTCTTAAGGCTGAGGGGTAAAGGTAAAGAGGAATTACCAGAGATAGTGGGGCTTATTCCTATAGGAGACAGCTACCAATTGCTGCCTTTACAGACAAACATAATCACTGTTAAGCCACAGTTACCATAAACCCAACCAGGGAGGAAGCTGAAGGGGTTAAGTTCTTAACTCTCTTTACCTCCGCTCTTCATTTTTCACTCTTATTGACCAAAACTAGCCCAAAAAACACTACAGGGATGCAGTCTATCAAATACGCATTCCTGTGATGGAGTCCAGTCCAGATAAGGGACTGAAGTGGAAATCTGACAGAAAAGGATTAATTTTATCAAGAAGCCACAATTTATCTCTTTAACAGATAAACAGTAACAACTTCAATAGATACAAACATAACAATTTTAAGATACATAAAGCAAAAAATACTGTTACAGAAGAAACATTCAAGTCAACAATATTATTTTAAAGATGAGGTATTGTCTAGACTGATCCTAATTTCCTGGCTCAAGTCCTTCTCCCATCTCAGCCTCTCAAGTAGGTAGGGGGGGGACTAAAAACAATCACCACCACATCCAGGTAACAAATTTAGAGAATTCAAATGTCACTCTGTAATTGATGGAATATTAGAATATGAGTACAGCTATAGATTTGAATATCATTATCATCCTATTTATCCTAATTGCCACTTATATATGACTCAACTGACAATAGAAGAATACAGAATCTTAAAAAGTACATGGACATTCATGAAGATAGAGGATATTCTCAACTGTAAACAAATTTCATCTATTTTTAAAAGGATTGAGGGCTGTCATGTAGTTCAATGGTAGAGCATTTGCAGAGCATTCTGAAACCATGTTTGGTCCTCAGCACCACAAATAAGAAATTGCAAAGTTGAAATCATACAAAGTATATTGTGTAATCACAATGAAATTAGAAGCCACTAACATTAGAAAAAAAGAACACAATTAAATATTTTAAATATCCATTGTAAATAACTAGAAAAAAGTATAGTTAATTAAAATCAAAGTCAGCAGCAAAACTAAACAACATAAAAATAAAAAGAAAGAGGATAAAGAAAAAGAAAATAAATGAAGAGAAAAGTTTATTTTGTTATTCCTCAGGACTGGTCCACATTATTTTTTGAGAAAGTCTCTCATTTGGGATCTGGAGAATCAGCAATTAAGATCCTTCTTCAGAAGGATCAACATATAATGAATAAGCCATCTAACTAGACTGATCAAGGAGAGAGAGAGGGAATGGGAGGGAGGGAGGGAGAGAGAGAGGAAGAAGGGAGGAAGAGGAGGAGAAGGAGGAAGAGCACAAATTACCAACATTAAGAATTAGAGACTGGAGAGAGTGCTCAGTCAGTAAAGGACTTCCTACACAAGCACGGGAACCTTAGTTCAATCCCCAGCACCCACACAAAAGGCCAGATCCAGTGAGTGGTAAATGCTTGTAATCCAGTAATGGGGTGGCAGAGATGGGGATCCCTGGTGCTTGCTGGCTACCCAGCCTAACATAATTGGTGGGTCCCCAGATACCATTGAGATACTGTCTCAAAAAATAAAGTGGAATAAACAACTGAGGTTGAACTCTTGGCTCCACACACAGGTTCACGTACCCACATACATATGTACACAAACATACATGCCATCTCTATGTACACCTACAAAAAGAATTAAAAGAATTTAAAAGTTATTGCCACTATACATGTGACAGAAATTAAGAGGATAAGAGTATTAAGAAAATATTAATAACAGTATGTAATGAACAAAGATAAAATGGACAAATTCTTTGAGAGTACAAACTATCAAAGTTCAAAAAACATAAAAAAGTAACTTGAATAGCTTTGTAGTCCACCATAATAATTTTGATCATCTAAGAAGGAAACCGCAAAAACAAATGTATTTACTGTTAAATTCTCCTAAATATTTAAGGAAGGAAAAATATTAATTTCATAATAATGTCCAGAAAACAAAATACGAATACTTCAAAACTCATGAGTTTAGTGTTACATTGATAAAAATATCTGAAAGACAAGAAAAGAAAATTACTTTCTAAATCACCCACCAACATAGAGGTAGAAGTTATAGCAAGTGAAATTGAACAATACATAAAAAGAATGACATATGATAACACAATCAGTTCCATCTTAGAAATACAAAGTTAGTTTAAATTTCACAAATCTGTGAAGTTTGTTAACAGAGCAGAAAAGGAAAAGGCATTTTCCCAGTAGATGAAGAAAAATTATTTGGAAAAAATTAGTACCCGTTGATGATAAAAATATTTCTGCAGGGGCTGGAATAACACAGAGATTAGCATGTCCTCTGTGCAAAAACAACATGCAAATTCATAAAGTATTCTATGGTTTTTCTGTGTAAGGGGAAAATATCAAATCACCAAGGCAAACACATCAGAGTAACAGCAGATTTTTCACCAATAACCCTAAAAGCCAGGAAAGCATAAAATGATATAATTCAAGTTCTGAAAGCCAGAAGCTGCCAAATAACATTGCTTTAAGCAAATTCAATGGAGAAATAAGGGCATTTTAAGATAAACACAACCTAGGATCATGAAAACCAACCCACCACTGCAAGAGATACATATATACGTATGTACGTACGTATGTATGTATGTATGTATGTATTTTGGAACGTGTAAAAATTTATTATTGCCTAAAAAAATTAACAGATAAATCCAATTTTTTGCTAAGTTTAGTATGAGTAATTTGACCCGAGACAATTGGATTTAGTACAAATAACCATAAAAAAAAATTTGCAATTTTGAAAATTTGAAAATTTGTAGTTGCATAGAAACTACAATCAGTAAAATATTTGATATCAATAACAGCAGAAGTATCCCCATGTTGAATAACATATTAATTTAAACCTTATATGGAAAACAGTTCATTCCAGTAAGAATTTTAATAAATTAAAAATGAAAATAGGTAAAAATTAGAAATATATTAACATTTTGGAATAAAAATGTCATCAAAGAATTAAAATAGTTCAATGGAAATTACCTTTAAAACACTTTAAGTTCATATTAAAATATGATTCTGTAATTATTCATGTATCATTGTGATGTAAAGAGGTCTTTCGTCTTCTCAACTTAGGAATTAAAAGACCTCAATCAGAAAGTCCACTAGGCCAAAAAAAAATGCTTGGTTCAAAAAAAAGGCTCAAAACTT